GCCGAGTCCTATAACCCTCCAGTCCCTACAGTTATCAAAGGATCCTCCTTGCTTTCCAAATGTCAGAATCCTCATTTTCCTTCGAAGTCCTCCAGTAACTGCTGTCATGTGCCTGCTCACTCTCTCTCTCTCTCTCTCTCTCTCTCTCTCTCTCTCTGGTTCAGTAACTCTGAGGTTGCCTCTGAATGCAAAAGGGGCGAGCAAAATTTGCCTTTGCCTCCCTGAGCAGCGCCAGGAGCCTGCTCTGCGGAGCCAGCACGGTGAACAGCGCCTGTGGCCGCGCCGCATCCCCAGGCCTTACTTTAATTGCTGCACCATCGCGGATGTTAATGACATCTGCTGCTCTCACCCGCGTGCAAAAGATTTTTGTGTGCGAATGGGTCTGTGTGGAGACTTGGCAAAGCCACCACCCCCCATTCCGGGGCTACGGGTCCCGGCTCTTCGGGAGGTCGCGGAGCCCTAGGATGGGGGCTGGGAGACAGTGGGGCGCGGGCCGCCGGGCGCCGAGGGCCGCGCTGCGCTTGGGAGTGCTTGGCAGTTTGAGAGAAAGGCCCAGGCAGGGCTGAGGCGGACTTTGGCGGGATTCCTTATGGGGCTGTGGCAATATGTCTTCGCGGGCCTGGGTCATTTGGCAGGACTGAATGGAAGTGGCTGCCTACGGGGCCGGGTTTCAGGCTGGCTGGTGAGAGCTCGAGGGTGGCAGAGGTCGGCGAGGCGCGCGCCGCACCTCCAGGCTGGGCCCCTGGGTTGCCAGGGCGAGCCCAGGACGCTAGCGCCCACAGGACGGTGGGGACCGCGGGTCCTCACCTCTGGGGAGGGCTCACCACCCACTCCCCTGCACCCGAGACCAGGCCCTGAACCTTACAGGCCTGCACGTTCTTTTTATTTTGGGTGGGACTGTTCTCACCCGCCTGTGAGTCTGAAGCAATAAACTTTATGGCCGGATTTAACTTTAGTGTTTGAATCCCCAGGCTAAATGAAAGGAGTTAAAGCGCTTTCTTTTCTTCCGCCTTGCCTTTCTTCTCCCTCTCCTTTTCCTCTCCTCCTTTGTAGAATTAAAACATCTACGCACAGGACCCTCAAAAGGCATCTTAGGCGTCCCCTAAGTAACACTAAAGAATAAAGAAATTTACTCTCCCTCAACATACAGGGGAAATTCTTCCAAACTGTGCCCTAAAGTTTGCGGGGAAATCGAGGTGTCTTCAATGCTCAACTTAAAAGTCCCCAGAGCCATTATGTTGTTTTCCCTGACACATCATAAAGGGTAGTTTAGGGGAAAAAAATTGGTTGTTTGTCAGTAGGAGATTTCCGCCTTTCTTTTGTTAGCTGCTCTTTCTGTTTGATCCCAGGAAATTTACATAATCTGTGATTTCCAAAACAGTCCCCAATATTGCACCAACAGGTGAAGTAAGGTGAAATAAAATTTTCCTGGGTCCTATTACAGCTCGGCCTCAGCCACCTCTTCTGGCCCCAAATCCCCACATTCTTCTGTGGCAAAGCCTTTGATTAAGGATACTGTGGCCTGTCCTGGGGTCTTTTTCTGGATGGGTACCCACAAGGGACCTAGCAGATTTCTCCCTATCCCGTCTGAGGAATTAAGCCAAAGTCTCCAACTCAGAAATGAAACAAAAAATGAGATCTTCTGTCTCCGAATGCTTTTCTCCTTAGGAACTGGGTAGTGCTAAATTTCTGCAAGTGCTAATTGGTAAAGGTATTCACTAACTGCTTAAAGTGAAAAAATTCTGAAGTGTAGATTTGGAATTTCAACACACCGTATTGTGCAGAGGCCACTTATTCTCAACATAAGTCCAACAGATGTCCCCAAAGTCAGAGGTCCCAAAAGCAAAACCTGGGAAGTTTTTCTGAAAAATCGAAACCCTCCCACAAGTTCCACGTCTCTTGAATAGTGAGTGGCAAGGCGAATTCCTAAAGTCATCTTGTGTAGCCTGTTAAAGTGAGCATTGCTGTTTCAGCGCTCAGGAAAATGTGTCTGCATCTTAGTGGGAACCAGCGTAGAAACTCTCTTTGGGTTCTCTTTTATTATTTTATATGTCTGTGAGAATTCTGGAGTCTTTGTTTTGCTGCTCTGAGTTTCGGGTTCTTTATTGGAAAGTATTTAGGTGAAGGTTTGATTTTAGTTGCTCATTTGGTGATCTTGCTTGAGTGATTTCTTGGTGACTAAAATTAGTAGCAGAAAAAAAGAGTAATAGGGCTGCTGGTAGGTTGACTTGAGTAACTCGCCTGGAGGAAGCGGCCACACCACCTCAGTGGCCACATCCTACCGTGGGGTGTGGGAATGGGCAGAAAGGCTGTTGGACCCATGTCTAACATCACACGATGTAGAGAATCTTTCCCATGATTTAAAAGAATTAGAGGCTATAAATATGGTCAGCTTGCTTATTTCTGTCTGTTGTAATCTTCATAAAACTTTAGCGTTTAAGGAGCGGGCTAACTTGCATAGAGTTAAATGACTTTCTAAAAAATACAGCATCCAGTCAGACCTATGTGAGAGTTACTGAAGGAATTTTTTTCTTTTTTCCTATTTTCATAGGAAGCATAGTAAAGAGATGGCTGGTTTTGTAGATATGTCATTTCTTCTCTTGCATTCTTTTTTTCTGTTTTGGGTTTTTTTTTTGTTTTGTTTTGTTTTTATTTTTGGTAGAGGAACTTACTTAGAGAAAAATCTCTGACATTGAGGGCTTTCTGAAGACACCCAGCCTCAGCCGGTGGCAGAAGTATCTGTCTGTACTCCTGGTCCTGTAAAAGGAGAAGGTGTCTGAAATGCAGGGCCTCGTTTGTTTCTACAAGCTGAAGAGACAATATTTCCTGAACTATAAATATAATAGGAAGCTTCTGGTCACACTCACTTAGGGGTTTGCTAGGGTTTCCATGGTCTAATTTCACAACATTATGCCAAGATTTCTTTTCTCCTGCTCTTTCCCCTGCTTCATTGTTGGCGGCTCTGAGAGAGCAAGACAGAATTTTCTACCAGAAACAGAGTCACGTTGTTCTGTTGAGATGTGAAGAATATTATATCCAAACAATTAGTGAGGGGAGAGCAAATTACATCCTGAAAGATGGGCTATTAAAGAGGTAAACAATCCTTTTAGCTTAAAAGATGCCCTTTGAAGCCTCTCTTCCGTCTCAGTTTGGGAATCTTTCTGAGGTTTGCCCACTATGGAGAGTGCAGAACAGTGTGGGCTCCATCCCTTTGGCTTCTAAGGCAGAATTTCTTTCCAGTCAGTGAGGAAACTATAAATGGGGCCTCCAGACAGGGCTAAGGGGGTCAACCTAGGATCCCGCCCACATATGAGTGGGGAGCCACAGCCCTAGCCATTCCAGACCCC